ACAGATGGGGATTTGGCAGAGGCAGTCTGGGTGAAACTTAGGGGTTTTGACAGGGAAAGAGACCTGACAGTGGGGGTATGTTATCGCCCTCCAGGTCAACTTGAGACCCTGGATGATGTCCTGACAGGCCAGATTCTAAGGATATCTTGGGGGAGGGACACAGTAATTATGGGAGATTTCAGTCTCCTGGATATTAGTTGGGAGACACACTCAGTGGTGACAGCCAGGTCACGTCGCTTCCTACAAGCTATAGAGGGAGGTTTTTTCACACAGAGGGTCTGAGAGCTGACAAGGCGGGGGACATCCTTGACTTGGTCTTGACCAACAGGGAGGAGCTGATAGATGAAGTACAGATTAGGGGAGCTCTGGACGCGAGTGATCACTCCATCCTTTGCTTTGAGATCAGGGGACTGCGGATGGGCAGCAGGTCGAGCACTAGAAGCTGGGACTTCAAGAGGGCCAACTTTGGCCAACTGAAGGCCAGACTGGGGAAAGTCTCCAGGGATAGGTTACTGGAAGGCAAGCGAGTCGAGGAGGGGTGGATGGCACTCAAAAGGGAGGTTTTGGAGGTGCAAGCCTTGACGATACCTCTAGTTAGTAAGGCTGGAAGGTGAAGGAGAACGCCGCCATGGATGCGAAAGGAGGTGGTTAGAGAGATTAGACACAAGAGGAACCTCCATAGGAATGGGTACTGGGGCAAAGAGACAAAAAGGTATACCAGGAGGAGGAGGCCTGTTGCAGAAGGATTCTTCGCAAGGCTAAGGCTGATTACGAGCTGAGACTTGCCAAGAATATCAAGAGCAACAAAAAGGGCTTCTTTCAGCATGTAAATAGGAAGAGGAAGGGGAGACAAGTGGTGGGACCACTAAATAAGGAGGAAGGGGATTCAGTGACTGATACGAGGGAACAGGCACAGATGCTAAATGACTATTTTGTCTCTGTGTTCTCCCCAAAGCAGGACGGGGGATATCCGCATAGGAGATTAGATGAGGTCGGGGACTTAGGGGCACAGATTAGAGTCACCCCCCTAGAAGTCGAGGGGCTCCTCAGGGCATTGGACATTACAAAGGCAACAGGCCCAGACAGGTTACACTCAAGAGTACTTGGAGAGTTGGCAGGGGTTCTCTCACGCCCGCTGGCCTCCATTTTTGAGGCCTCGTGGAGAACGGGTGAAGTTCCAGAGGACTGGAGAGTGGTGTCAGTGGTCCCAATTTTCAAAAAGGGTAGTAAAAGGGACATGGGGAATTACAGACCTGTTAGCCTTACATCCATTGTAGGAAAAACAATGGAAAGGCTCATAATAGAGAGAGGTCTAGTGATGCTAGATAGGGAAGGGAGGCTGGCAGCCACACAACACGGCTTCCGCAAAAACAGGTCCTGCCAGACAGACCTTGTGGGATTCTATGACAAGGTTTCGAGGTGGCTAGACGGAGGGGATGCAGTGGATGTGGTTTACCTGGATTTCAGCAAGGCCTTTGACAAAGTGCCCCATGACATCCTGGTGGAGAAACTGAGGAGTTTTGGGATACACCAAAGCACTGTCCGGTGGACTAGGGCATGGTTGACTGACCGAAAGCAGAGGGTAACCATTGGTGGGGAATCATCGGGATGGCGGCCAGTGATAAGTGGGGTCCCCCAGGGCTCTGTCCTGGGGCCGATCCTGTTTAATCTTTTCATCAATGACAAGGAAGAAGGGGTGAACAGTCTGCTGATCAAGTTCGCAGACGACACTAAAACTGGAGCAGTGGCCACAACTAAGGAGCAGGTACTTCAGATCCAAAAGGATCTGGACAGACTATGGAAGTGGGCAGGAGACAACAGGATGGCGTTCAATGTGGATAAGTGCATAGGAATGGGTGTCATAAGTGCAGGTTAGGGGACAAGTGGCTGGAGAGCAGCACTTGTGAAAGGGACCTAGGGGTGCTGGTTGACTGCAGGCTGAACATGAGTCAGCCATGTGATGCGGTGGTCAAGGGGGCAAATGCCACCCTTGGTTGCATAGCCAGAAGTGTGGCTTCTAGATCAAGAGAGGGATTACTACCACTCTATACGATTCTGGTGTGCCTACAACTGGAGTATTGGGCTCAGTATTAGGCCCCTCATTACAGAAAGGATATAGCCAGGTTGGAGTCAGTGCAGCATAGGTCCACAAGGTTGGTGGCCGGTTTGCAGGGGATGCCGTATGAGGCGAGACTGAGGGAACTGGGTCTCTTCAGCCTGGAGAAGAGGAGACTCAGAGGGGATCTATTGGCGACATACAGGTATGTGAGGGGGTGTCACACGGAGGTGGGCTGAGACCTGTTCTCTCCTGCAGAGGAAGGCAGGATGCATTCCAATGAGCAAAGCTCAGGGAACTGACGTTCCATTTAGATACTAGGAAGTACTTCCTGACAGTTAGGACCCCGAGGGTATTGACTGGGCTTTCACGGGAGGTGGTTGAGGCCCCATCGGTGAGGGTGTTCAAAAATAGGCTAGACCTGCACATGGTGGGCATGTCGTGAGTGGAGCCAGCTGGAGGCGGGGGTCAGACTAGATGGCCCGGGAGACCCCTTCTGACTCGCTCTGTTTCTATATTTCTAATCTCTTTTTGGGCCACATTCCAGTTTTGGGTGGAGTTGTTGCCAAAAGGGGTGAAAACAAAAACAAAGAGGTAGGGCTGGGCGCTAATATCTATTTAGGTTTAATTTCTTACTCCCAGGATTACATAGGGAACTATAAAGAGGTGGGGATTTTTGTCATCTTGATTTGAGTAAGTTTCACCTCTGATTTCTCTCTTATTGTTTAGTTCCAAAGTCACATCTGGCCCATCACGACCCCATGGACAACATTCTCCAGGCTCTCCTGTCCTCCACCATCCCCCGGAGTCCACCCAAGCCCACACCCACTGCCTCAGTAACCCCATCTAGCCACCTCAACCTTCTATCAATTTGATTTCCTTTAAGATTGACTGATTTGATCTCTTTGCAGTCCAGGGAACCCTCAGGAGTCTTCCCCAACACCACAATTCAAAGGCAACAGTTCTTCAGCACTCAGTTTTCCTTATGGTCCAGCTTTCACAGCCATACATTGCAACTGGGAAAACCATGGCCTTGACTATATGCACTTTTGTTGGCAGGGTGATATCTCTGCTTTTTAGTATGCTGTCTAGATTTCCATAGCTTTCCTCCCAAGGAGCAAGCGTCTTTTGATTTCTTGGCTGCAGTCAGAGACCACATCATCATGGTTATCAGGGACATTAAGATCTTGCTTGTATAGTTCTTCCATGTAATCTTGCCACCTCTTCTTAATTTCTTCTGTCTCTGTTAGGTCCCTGCCATTTTTGTCCTTTTGCCTATTATTGCATGAAACGTTTCCTTCATATCTCCATTTTTCTTGAAGAGATCTCTAGTCTTTCCCATTCTGTCATTTTGGAGACTGTATCCCAGTACTGCTTTTCCTGCTCTTTTATTGACTATGAAGGCTACTCCATTTCTTCTGAGGGATTCTTGCCCGCAGTAGCATACCTGATGGTCATCTGAATTAAATTCCCCCATTCCTGTCCATTTTGGTTCACTGATTCCTAAGATGTCGATGTTCAGTCTTGTCATCTCTCGTTTGACCACATCCAGCTTGCCTTGATTCATGGATCTTACATTCCAGGTTCCTATGGAGTATAGATCTTTACAGCATCGGGCTCTCCTTTCACCACCAGATACATCTGAGACTGAGTGCCCCTTCGGCTTTGACCAGTCGCTTCATTCTTTCTGGCACTACTAGTACTAGCCTCCACTCTTCCCCAGTAGCACATGGGACACCTTCCGACCTGAGGGGCTCATCTTCCGGCCTCGTATCTCTTTGCCTTTTGGTACTGTCCATGGGGTTTTCATGGCAAAGAGACTGGAGTGGGTTGCCATTTCCTCCTCCAGTGGATCACGTTGTCAGAGCTCTCTGCTCTGCCCTGTCCGCCTTGGGTGCCCCTCACAGCTCAGAGCTTCATTGCACTACAAAGCCCCTTTGCCACGGCAAGGCAGTGATCCATGAAGGGGATTCTAAATGTATCCTAGATCCATTTTCCTTATTTGCATTAGTTCTTGGTGTTCTGCAACATTTATGTGAATGAATGTGTGCCTATGTCCAGGCACATCTTCAAATAACATTTCCCTTTTTCCTCTCCCTTGCTGAACAGTGCTATGAAACTACAGTACAGAGAGGAGAAATCACACCATCAGTTTCCACAGTAAGTACCAATTTGCCAGCTTGACCCTAAATTAAAGTTCCCCCCCTTCTGGTTCTCTTAATGTGTTCTGTCTCATGACGGTGTGTCGTTCTTTCCAGATTATCTTATCCTCAACCCAGTGCTGTGCAACAGACGTAAGTGGCCTGTCGGGGAAGGCCTGGGGGCAGCGGGTTTAGCTGGGTGGCTGCACTGAAGCCCCTGGGCAAAGGGATGCATTTCAACTCAGCAGCTACATTGCCGGCTTCGCAGGGCAGAGTCCTTTGTAGGTTCAGATGCAGCCTCCTCTGAAAAGGCAGAGCATGCTCTGGTTCTGGCAAAGCGAAAGCAGCCCCCCTCCATGGGCCGTATCACGCTGCGATTCCTGCAGGCAGCCCTCTTGTGCAGATAAGCGGTGGCTGGGCTCATGTGCCTGGGAGGCCATTTCGGCCGGCCCAGCACTCCGGCTTTTCCTGGTTTTATTTCCTCCCGTCCTCTTTCTCCAGGCGCTCCGACGTGCTCACGGTCACTCCATGGCTGGCCCCCATTGTCTGGGAAGGGACCTTTGACCCAGAGGTCGTGGACAGCCTCTACAAACCGTTGAACCTCACAATTGGCGTGATGGCCTTTGCTGTTGGGAAGTGAGTAGGCGTGTGGGGAGCTGCACACACTTCACAAGTCGGGCTTCCTCCCTCCTTCCTCGCAGGGCTCTCTGAAAGGGCTACCCAGAGAGCCAAGAGACCCTGCGGGATGAGGGGTGCTCTTGTGGGGAGGGGAGTCCCCCAAATCAGGCAGGAGCCCTTCGTCCCGCAGTTGGACCTTCTTCCTGCAGAACGCAGGTCCTGGATCCAACCCAACAAGTGCCAAAGCTTCACATTTGGACTCTGCGTTAGTACGGGTGAAGCAGGGGATCTCATGGGTTGCCTGCTCCCAGTGTGTGTCGGTGCCCTGCGGGACTTCCCTCCGCATAACCCCGAGGCATCGCTGCCAGCGAGTGAGCGGACTTGGCGGAGGAGGGCCTGCTTCGTACAAGCAACACTGCAGGCCCCTTTTAGAGGATCTTCAGCCATCATGGACCTCCTGTGCAAATGGCACTGAATCGGAAGCCTTGGTGGGCTGGCCGTTGGTCATGCTGGCTGGGGATGATGGGCATTGCCTTCCAACATGCCTGGCGCTCGCAGCCCCGCCAGGTGCTGTGCGCAGTGCCCTCCGGGTGGAGGTGGAGGTGCAGGTGGAGGGCTCTGTCCCATCACCAGTGCTGACGGAAGATTCAGGGGCCAGCCCCACCAGCTCCTGCACACGGAATCATGAGCAGGCAGTGCGTCTTGTCCTTTGCCCAAGGCAGAGGCATCCTAGGCTGGGTGCCAAACCAGCTCCAGCCCATTCTGGTTGGGGGTGGGGCTGAAGATCAAAGGGGTGGAGTGAAAGCAGAAGGATGGGCCCCACAATTTGAGCTCAGAGCTCTTTCCATAACTGTGGCACGGGAAAGGCATTTCAGCCGGTTAGAATGGAGGAGCGAGAAAACCCACACAAAATCCAGGATATTATCAAACAATCTGCAGTTGGGAGAAAGGGGGTGGGACATGGGGAAGGGGGTGCACCCCAGGCTTGACCTTCTGCACCCTTGCCTTGGCCCGTGTGGGCTCCGGGTATGTTCTGCCTCTTCAGATACACACAATTTGTGGGCCGTTTCTTGGAGTCAGCAGAGACATTCTTCATGACTGGCTACCGTGTGAATTATTACATCTTCACTGAGAGCCCTCAAGCGATCCCGAAAGTGCACCTGCAGCCTGGGCGGGGCCTTGTCCTCGTCCACATCAGAAAATACTCCCACTGGCAAGAGATCTCTATGCGGCGGATGGAGGTGATCAACAGGCACATCTCAGAGACGGCCCATCGAGAGGTGGACTACCTCTTCTGCTTGGACATAGACATGGTGTTTCATAATCCGTGGGGGGCTGAGACGCTGGGGGAGCTGGTGGCGGCCCTCCATCCAGGCTACTACAAGGTTGCTCGCACGGCATTCCCTTATGAAAGAAGGAAGGTGTCCACAGCCTACATCCCTTGGGAAGAGGGGGACTTCTACTACGCTGGGGCCACCTTTGGAGGCTTGGTCAAGAGAGTGTATGAGTTTACCAGGGCTTGCCACATGAACATTCTAGCTGACAAAGCCAACGGCATCATGGCGGCCTGGCAGGAAGAGAGCCACTTGAACAGACACTTCCTTTCCCATAAGCCTTCCAAGCTCCTCTCTCCGGAGTATGTCTGGGATGACACAAAATCCAGACCTCCTGAGCTGAGGCTCATACGGTTCTCCACAGTAATCAAGAACTACAGGCAGTTGAGGGAGTAACGCCTGGTAGGATCCATGCTTGGCCAGGGAGAAGAAGTACCAGACTGTAGCTCTCTGGGCCTGGTCTGGGGGTTCCCTGCAGAGCTGATGAGATCAGGAGGGTTCCCCAAAATTGATGTAGCATCATGGCTATTCAAGAGCGAGGGCTGAGATGCAAGAAGCTGCGCCTTCAGGTCTTGCCGGACCCCAGTGAAATTGTCAGGTGGTTTCTGAAAAGCTGCTGTTCCCGCACTGTCACCATGGCTGTGCTTGCGATGCCTGTAATATGGAAGCAATCGCACGCTCCCGCTTCTCAGGGCTGCCGCGGGTGCTGCTGGAAAAGCGCCTGCGCAGGCTTGCGATGGCTCTTTGTCGCTGTGCGCCCCCAAGTCACGTCCGACTGAGGGTGACGCTGTGTAGAACTGCTCTCCGAAATGTCTTGTCCTTGACAGCCCTGCTCAGCTCTTGTAAACCCCACGAGATGGGCAAGTGTTATTTAAGATGAAAATAAATTTGTTTTCATTTGCGGGCCACGCTCAGTGTGCAGCTGCATAAGCCGTGGGGAAGAATTGGAGGATTCGTGACCTTGGGCTGCCCTTTTTTCACCATCGGCAACTTTTTCTCAGGCTGCTGTTTGGCTAAAATGTTCTGATAAATGTGGTCATTCCTTTAGTGTGTGGGCACTTGTTAAACATGGTGACAAAACTCCCTTCAGTGAGAACAAAAAAATGATTTGAATTTTGAACTAAGGTATCGTGGTGATAGTGCTCCATCTGCTGGAGAAATGCTTCCTGTAATGGACAGTGTTTGTCCGTGACACGTCATAGCCACAGTCTAGAAGCTGGTGTATTTTAAGCCAATGCATAATATCTACCCTGCAGACCTATTCTGTGCTATGTCAGGACTGGATTAGGGTTAGAAAAACCAAGGTCCCTGTGAAGCTATTGAAGCTTGGACTGTGTGTAGAATGGGCAGAAACAAGGAGTTGTGCAGGAAAACATCAGGAAAGCTGGCATTTTGGAAGTCCATCTAGAGGCATGAGTATTAGGGTTAAGTCTAGGATAGGGTTAGGGTTAGAAAAACCAAGGTCTCAGTGAAGCAGTTGAGGACTTGGAATGTGTTTAGAATGGGCAGAAAGAATGAGTGGGGCAGAAATACATCCAGAAAGTGGGCATTTTGGAAATTCATCTGGAGGCATGGGTATGTCAGCCTTATTTTAGGATTTGGTTAGGGTTAGGGCTTGAATAATACACTCTCCTGAAGGAATTGACTTGCACCCAAGGGTAGGCATTAAGAGATGACCTATCCTCCCTAAATATTCTTTAATCCATCCAATTTTTTAACTAAAGATCATTTTCCACTTTTGTCTTCTAAAGGCTTGTAATCCTGCTGAACTACCCCCTCCTTTGGCCAGGCACCCCCGCAAAAAACCTTTCGGGCCGGCCACTAACTGCCAGGGGAACACTGAAGCTTCACGGTCATGTGATAAGGGGCCTTGAAGCAAGCACTTTCTGCTTCCTTGCCAAACTAATTCCCAGCTTGCGGCATGTCATATCCATGGAATCCCTTTTGCCTTTTCTCCACTAAGAAGTGGTGCCCCAGAGCTATTCTGAAGTGGAATTAGGCCCTTAAGAAGACAGGTGTTCGGTACCTATGCTGTGGGTGTGGGAGTCTAAGGAATTGCCTTGCCTCTTGGCTGCGAAGCCCAGCATGTGACTTTGGGCCAGCTGAAGATGCTCAGGCTAACCTACTTCACGGGGTGAAGACATGGGAAGGAAGAGATCCCTGGAAAAAAGGTTGGGCTCCTGACAAGAGGAAGAGATGTAGATATAATGTCATAATAACAATAGAAACATAGAAACAGAGCGAGTCAGAAGGGGCTTCCCGGGCCATCTAGTCTGACCCCTGGCTGTAGCTGGCTCCACTCACGACATGCCCACCATGTGCATGTCCAGCCTATCTTTGAACACCCTCACCAATGGGGCCTCAACCACCTTCCGTGAAAGCCCAGTCAATACCCTTGGGGTCCTAACTGTCAGGAAGTACTTCCTAGTATCTAAATGGAACATCAGTTCCCTGAGCTTTGCTCCATTGGAGCGCGTCCTGCCTTCCTCTGCAGGGGAGAACAGGTCTCTGCCCACCTGCGTGTGACACCCCCTCACATACCTTCATGTCGCCAATAGATCCCCTCTGAGTCTCTTCTCCAGGCTGAAGAGACCAAGTTCCCCCAGTCTCGCCTCATACGGCATCCCCTGCAAACCGACCACCAACCTTGTGGCCCTACGCTGCACTGACTCCAACCTGGCTATATCCTTCCTGTAATGAGGGGCCCAAAACTGAGCACAATACTCCAGTTGTGGGTGCACCAGAGGTGTATAGGACGGCAGTGACATCTCTCTTGATCTGGAAGCCACGCTTCTGGCTAGGCATCCAAGGGTGGTGTTTGCCCTCTTGACCACCGCATCACATGGCTGACTCATGTTTAGCCTGCAGTCAACCAGCACCCCGAGGTCCCTTTCGCAAGTGCTGCTCTCCAGCCACTTGTCACCTAACCTGCACTTATGACAGCTATTCCTATGCCCCAAGTGCAAGACCGTGCACTTATCCACATTGAACGCCATCCTGTTGTCTCCTGCCCACTTCCATAGTCTGTCCAGATCCTTTTGGATCTGAAGTACCTGCTCCTCAGTTGTGGCCACTGCTCCAGTTTTAGTATTGTCTGTGAATTTGATCAGCAGACTGTTCACCCCTTCTTCCATGTCGTTAATGAAAAGATTAAACAGGATCGGCCCCAGGACAGAGCCCTGGGGGACCCCGCTTGGCACTGGCCGCCATCCCAATGATTCCCACTAATGGTTACCCTCTGCTTTCGGTCAGTCAGCCATGCCCTAGTCCACCGGACAGTGCTTTGGTGTATCCCAAAACTCCTCAGTTTCTCCACCAGGATATCATGGGGCACTTTGTCAAAGGCCTTGCTGAAATCCAGGTAAACCACATCCACTGCATCCCCTCCATCCAGCCATCTTGAAACCTTGTCGTAGAATTCCACAAGGTTTGTCTGGCAGGACCCGTTTTTGCAGAAACCGTGTGGTGTGGCTGCCAGCCACAGGTAGGAAATATCTAGCATCACTAGATCTCTCGCTAATAATATTACAATAATAATAATAATGCTTCTCCTTTAGAAAGTCACGTGTGTCGCGTGAGCAGCGAAGTTCACCTTCTCTTCTAAGCCTAGCCTTTGCAACTGCTTCTTCTGTCCCGATACGTGAAGATGAAACAGCAGCAGAGCACTCAAAGTGCTAATCCTGAGCAGGGGTTCAGCCTGCTAGTCCTGCAGAGGAGTCTCAGAAGGATAGAGGAATAGATTCTGGCTGAGATGAGTCAGGAGAGGCGAAGAAGGAGCCAAGGACAGAAGACAGAGATAAGGGAAGAGGGAGGAGACAGCCAAGCTGCTCCTGAAACCGTGGGAACCAGCGCTTTTTCGAGGAGAAGCAGGAGGGTGGAATGGGCATGACAGATCCAAAGAGGAGCCATTGGTTAAGGAGGGAAAGCCAGCAACCCAGAGTGTGACATGCCAAGCGGCTGGCTCTGAGAAGGGCCCCCCCTTGAAGGTTCGGTCTGGGCAATTTTGATTCCTGGGAAGGGGAGGATGTTAGCTACTTCCAATTCGTCTGCAAGCCACTTTCAACTGGGTCGATTCTATGGAAAAAAATGTAGTGTTTTGCTTTCATTATTGTAACCAAAAGGAAGCTTTGTTAGCTTGCAGGTCAGCACGAAAAGACAAATGGTCCTCTGATGGGAAGGTGGCGAGGTGGAAAAAAATACTCCCGAGCATGTGCAGCTTTGCTTGCAAAGCTCACTGAAACTGCAGCTTAGAACTACAGGAATTAAATGGGATCCGCAGCTGGTACCTTTAGACTAAGCAATTTGACATGGGAATAAGTACAACTCTATTGTATTACAGGAAAGTTTTATGTATATTGTAGAAAAGTTTGTATATTTTAAAAAAGTGAGGTGCATTGTATATTAAGAATCATGCAACTGCACATGCCAGAGGTTCCCTGACCCCTTCTGTGCCATCCCAGGGCCTGTTTGCTGCTGTCCCAGAAAGCCGCCGTTTCCTGTGTGGTTCTTTGGGACCCAACTGGGCTGTGGGATCCAGATGCTGAGCCCAAGATCTTGCCCTTCTGGTGTGTCTCCCAAGTAGATGCCATCGTCCTTTGGATGCAGCACAGGACTTGGGCCAGCCTGACCTGGAAAGCTTGGTGTGACTTGCGGTCTGAGCTGACACCGCATGCCTGTTGACCCACTGGCATTGTCTGTGGCCTGGTCTGTGCTGCCGCTAACAATGCATTTGGGAGTTACTTCTGTGCCCTGGTAACACAGGTGCAAACCTTGTGCCAAAACAAATGTGGTTATTAATTGGGACGGGCAGGTAACTAACTACTGGTGCTCAGCACACAACTACAAAATCTCAGACGAAAAGGGGCCCATAACCATGGGGCGGGGTGTGTCTGGACATGCAGGCTTTGCTAATGGACTAGGACCTTCCCCCCCCCCCCCCCCCCACACACACACACAGGCAAGAGGCAGACGATTGAGCAGGATCTCTGAATGCTTTGCAGTAGAGCGATGAGAGTTTCTGACTTGGCAGTTCTGTAACTGAGCCTCTCCCTGTCCCGGTGCCCCCTGGGTGTTTTGGACTACAATTCCCGGAATCCCGCTGCTTGCAGAGAGACTGCCAGACCAGCACGGGCTGCTCAGCGTGGTTCCTCGGGCTCTATGGTTCCTGCGATTGGAGCCTCATTCCTAGAGGGCCCCAGAATGGCAAATTCAAGCACAACTTCCCAGGACGCCCCAGGGCCACTCTAGGAATGAGGCTGCTCTGACCCGAGCCCTGGGGCCTGGTTTACTTTGCCCTCCCCTGCCAGTTCTGGGCTTGCGTGGCCCTCTGCAGTCCTGTGCTTCCATGCCTCTGGGATAAAGTTTTGCCCAGGGCTGGAGAAGGCTGCGGAGGCGCAGAGCTTCGGGAGGCCCCACCTCCTGAAGGTTGGCTGTGGCCCTCTCAGTGCAGGTGCCGCCATTTTAGCCCGAGGGCCGCAGGGTCGTTTCCCCGCGGTGGGCGGGGCCAGGCGCGAAAGGGGTGGGGCCAAGGATGCCCGCTGGGCCGGCGGGCGGGGGGGCTCTCGCTGGCGGCAACTGGGTGCGGGGAGAGGCATTCTGGCCCCTTACGTGGCGGGGGCCACTGTGCGAAGCGCCCAGGCCGCCCCTGCAGCGACGGAAGGAGGCCCAGGAGCTGTTCCACGGAGTAGCTGTGCCCCTCGGGACTGAGTCGCCCCAGGAGCTCCCCCGAAGTCCCCGGCAGGGGTGGGGTCTCCCTTTGGCCCCCAGGCCGAGGCGAGTGGCAGAGAGGCTTGTGGGCAGCCGCTGAAGGCCCGAGGGACGGGCCAGTGGACCAAAAGCTACTGCTGTTACCGCTCCCTTGCATTTACATGCCACCTTTTCTTCTCATGAGGAAGCCAAGACTGTTGACACAGCTCCGTGCTATCTCTGCAACACCCACCCTGCGAGGTAGGCTAAGACTGAGAGGCTGTAACTGGCCCAGAGTCACCCTGTGAGCTTCATGGCTGAGTGGGGACCAGAACCTGGATCTCCCAGTTCCCCACTCCA